ATATATTCCTATTGGGCATTCTACTTCTGTAGTGATACAGTGATACCACCTCAGAAACCCAAGGAGGGGTTGCTATGAGTCGGATCCGACTCGACAGCAGTGAGTTTGGTTTGGTTTGGTTATATACATACTTGATCTCTAAAGCTGTTATTAGAATGAGGACATGTTCAATTACCGCTACAGACCTGTACCCACAGGTTCAATAGTTTATATGACATAGATTAATCCAAGTTTCTGGAGTTCTTTTTATAAAAATTACCACTCTAACCAGGTCCTTTAATTAAAACTCTCAGTTACAAGGTTAAGTATACTCTGACCCTCTGAGACAGAGGTAAACCCGTGTGCTGAAATGCCACTGAGCATCTTTTATCACTTTCTGCGAAGTCCATCCCTTCCCAATACTCATTATTAAAAAGCACTGGCGGTCACTGAAGCAATAAACATCAACAAATACCCTTTATTTTATACATTACTGAAAAAAGAGGCACCACATACAAAATTAGAATCACTGCCATTTTCATTCCTCAAGGGATTAAAATTCTATTACATATAAAAACTTCAGTTATTTTATGGCAAATACAGATTTTAAAAAAATCCCTTTAAACTGATACATTAGAAAGCTTTCTTTCATGTGACATACATTGCGAATATAAGAAATTCCAAGTTCCAATAATATTCCAAGATCTGGAGAAGAAGAATTAGATCTGATAAAGCAATCACCATCAAGCAAGCATGGCAAAATGCCAGTAACCTGAAACAATAAAGAAACTAACGTTACTAATAAAAATAAAAATGGGAAGAGGGGTTCCATTCTATTTATCTATAAGTGGCTCATGCATTTTGCATGATAATAAAAGATCTTTAAAGGGAAACAAGGAGTAGATGGATTGAGAGCTCTAAATTTTAGACTCACCTATACCAATGAATTTAAAGTTTTAACTTTTATTTAGAGGAAATAGTAACCTTCTTATTCTTTGTTTAGAGTAGGAAACCAAAAACCAAACTCACTACCGTCGAGTCAGATCTGAAACATAGTGACCCCTCCTTGGGTTTCCAAGGTGGTACCTCTACGGAAGTAGATTGCCCAATCTTCCTTCAGAGGACTGGCTGGTGGGTTAGAACTGTCAGCCTTCTCATTAGCAGTCAAATGTCTTAGGCACTACGTCATTGTTTTTTTCTTTCCCTACTGACATGTAAGTTCCCACAATGCCTATGAAAAATGCCTTGCACATAGCAGATGCTTAATCTCATCCAACAAAGTAACACATACTTATTATTTCTCTCTCCCCAGCAGTTCCTCTTTATATCCTGGAAAACATTAAAACATTCTACCCTAAACACTTCACATAGACAGAGATGCAATACCAGAATCGTGAAATGTTGTGCTAAAAGACAAACACTGCTTCTCCCTGGAGGCAGGGTACTTAGAAGATCAAAACAAACTTGTAGGAGTTGTGCTATAGACAAGTGTGAGTACAGGCAGCACCAAAGTGGCTGTGTCTCATACACATCCTGTGCCCTCTCACTGAACCTCCATCTGGCTTTAAGATCTAGCGATACATTAAGTTGTTGGAAGGTGTTATCGAGTAGGTTCCAACTCATAATGACCCTAGGTACAATAGAATGAAATCCTGCCTGGTCTTGCATCATCCTCACAATTGTTTCTATGCTTGAGCCCATTATTGCAGCCACAGTGTCAATCCATCTCATTGAAGGTCTTCCACTTTTGCTGACCCTCTACTTTATGAAGCATGATGTTCTTTTCCAGTGACTGGTCCCTCCAAATAATACATCTAAGGTAAGTAAGAAGAAGTCTCAACATCTTTGTTCTAAGGAGCATTCTGGCTGTACTTCTTCCAAGACATATATGTTCCTTATTTGATAGTCCATGGTATACTCAATATTTTTTGCCAAAACCATAATTCAAAGGCATCAATTCTTCTTCACTCTTCCTTATTCATTGTCCACCCTTCCCATGCATATGAAGTGAGTGAAAATACATGGATTGGGTCAGGCACCAGCTTAGTCCTTAGTGACTTCTTTGCATTTTAACATTTTAAAGAGGTCTTTTGCAGCAGATTTGCCCAGTGCAGTATGTTGTTTGATTTCTTGACTGCTTCTTCCATGGGCATTGAGTATGGATCCAAGTAAGATGAAATCCTTGACAGCATCAATCTTTTCTCCATTTATCATGATGTTGCTTACTGTCCAGTTGTGAGGATTTCTGTTTTCTTTATGTTAAGGTGTAATACAGACTGCAAATTGTAGTATTTGATCTTTATCCGTAAGTGCTTCAAGTCCTCTTCCCTTTCAGCAAGCAAAATTGTGCCATCTGCATATCACAGGTTGTTAATAAGTCTTCTTCCAATCCTGATGCCACATTCTTCTCCATATAGTGCAGTTTCTCTTATTATCTGCTCAGTATTTCGCTCAGCATACAGACTGAATAAGTATGGTGAAAGGATACAACTCTGATGCACACCTTTTCCAACTTTAAGCCATGTAGTATCCCCTTGTTCTGTTCAAATGACTGCCTTTTTTGGTCTATGTACAAGTTCCACATGAGTACAATGAAGTGTTCTGGAATACCCATTCTTCAAAATGTTATCTATAATTTATTATGACCCACATAGACAATAAAAAGGAAGGTTAATTAAGGATTTTTGGGGCACAGTAACAAGGGAGTTAGTTGTGGGAGGAAAAGTAAAATACTAAGGTCATGAAACCTTGAGGCAGGAAAAAAAAATAAAGTAAAATAAACTACAGACAAACAATATTATAGAAAGAGCATAAGGACACATTCATGTTCACTGAAAAACAGAGTCTATACCACCTGGCAAGGCTGACGGTTCAAATCCACCAGCCACTCAATGGAAGGAAAGTTGGGCAATCTACTTCCGTAGTGATACCGCCTAGGAAACCCAAGGAGGGGTCACTATGAGTTGGATCTGACCTGATGGCAGTGAGTTTGGTTTGGTTTGGTTATACCACCTGGCATCTATGTAACACTCAGTGGTTTGAACTCACCTAACCACATTCCAGTCTTGACAGTACCTGGAGATAAAGTAGAGGTCCCCTAGGCTTACCACTGATTTTATCTAAAGAATGCATAGCTCTGATTAGCACAGTTGAAAGATGTCATTTTTTTAAGAAAAAATATTATATTTCCTTATTTTATCTTTTTATTTTCATTTCTCATCAAATGAACATTTTCAAGAATTAACTTTTGAAATTCATTGAATGAGATAATTCACAGGAATTATAACTTCAATGAATCAGAAATATAAGTAATTATTAACAAAGTTCTCAATGAACCTTAAAGAGTCTAAAGATTCAAACCTGGCCCCATAGATACTATACTAAATAGAAATATGTCATTTTAGGAGTACACTTTGATGGCTTTGTCTTACAAAATAATTGGACTATTTTTAATAGATAAGAGAAGTTCACTTTTCATTCTATTCACTAAGCAGATCACTTACCTGGGGAGAAAAGGTCCATGTTTTGGGCTTTTTAGGCTGCCATGTGGCTCTGACAGTATGAATGTTGCTCAGAACCTGAAATGACATTTACCACATGAAATCATGTAGAAAGCTCTATGAAACACCACCACTTCCATGTCCCAAATAGGTAACAATGGTTATACTAAGTGAAACAGATGGGAAGGGGGGACTTTCACTCTTTACTTCATGCAATTCTATAATGTTTTATTATCTTTTTAATATCAAGTATGTATAACTTTTAAAGTTATTAACAAAAAATACCAACAAGTAATAGCACTTAACGGTAAAACAATAAAGGAACTGATTAAATGAATTCAGATTTGGATGTTTGTGCTAGTAATATATTATAGTAAGTGAAATACTTAATATGTGAGATTTACTAGAAAAGCAAGTGAAATTTCAGGTAAAAATAATCTTAGGAAATGTTATCCACAAAAGTGTTTCATATATAATACAATCCACTGTCACCAAGGCACACAATAACCTTGTGTGCTGAAAATGAAGATGACTTTGAAGCACTTACTGATGAAGATCAAAGACTACAGTCTTCAGTATGGATTACACCTCAACATAAAGAAAACAAAGTCCTCTTTTTTAATAAGCAACATCACGATAAATGGGGAAAAGATTGAGGCTCTCAGGGATTTCATTTTACTTGACTCCACAATCAAAACTCATGGAAGAAGCAGTCAAGAAATCAGACATTGTATTGCACTGGGCAAATTTGCTGCAAAAGATCTCTTTAAAGCATTAAGCGAAGAAAGACATCACTTACAAAACTAAGGTGTGCCTAAACCAAGCCATAGTACTTTCAATTGCCTCATAGGCATGTGAAAGCTGGACAATGAATAAGGAAGACCAAATAAGAGTTGATCCCTTTGAACTATGGTGTTGGCAAAGAATACTGAAAATACCTTGGAATGCCAGAAGAAGGAACAAATCTGTCCTGAAAAAAGTACAGCCAAAATGTTCCTTAGAAGTGAGAATGGCCAGACTGGGTCTCACCTACTTTGGCAATGTTGTCAGAAGGGACCACTACCTGGAGAAGGATATCATGCATGATAAAGTAGAGGGTCAGTGAAAAGGGGGAAGACCTGACAAGATGGATTGACACAGTCGCTACCACAATGGACTCAAGCACAGAAATGACTGTGAGGATGGTGCAGGACCAGCCAGTGTCTTGTTCTGTTGTACACAGGGTCACTATGAGCCAGAGCCAACTCGATTGCTCCTAACAACAACAACCAGGCACACAATGCTTACATAGTTAGTTACACAGATACATAGTTAAGTCTTCAAAATCTCTAAGCCTATCAATTATATTTCTCCTGAAATTTAATCTCTTGTAAAATGCACATGCAAGAAGTTCATGCTACAATACAATGGACCTGTGGGCTCGGGACCATAGTCTCAGGGGACATCAAGCTCAATTGGCATAACATACAACACAAAAACAATGAAATACAAAAGACATAAAAATTCTGCAAAAAAGGGTTCACATTGTACTATGCAATCCTAAAGAATAATGTACAATCGTCAAAAAACAACATAACATGGATGAACTTGGAGGGCATTATGCTGAGTGAAATATCAATCACAGAAATACAAATATTCTATTAGTCTGTTATTGTAAAAAGTCAAGGAAAGGTTCATATATGGTAGGAAATTTTCTTTGTTGGTTACCAGCAGTGGGAGGGAAAGGGAGGAAACACTGTTAGGTAGGTAGAGACAAGTATTGACTTGATTGAAGAGAAAGGCAATATACCAAATGTGAATGATCAACACGGTGGCATCGAGGAAGAGGGAGACATAGAGAGGTACACAGGAGGT